ATAATATTATATCAAGTAGTAATAAGTATATGAAGATAAATGATGGCTGGTCATGATGGCTCACACCTGTACTCCCAGCACTTTGGGAAGCCAAGTCACATTGCTTGAGCTCAGGAGTTTGAGATCAGTCTGGGCAACATGGTAAAACCCCATTTTTACCAAAAATTTAAAAAGTTAAACAGGCATGGTGTTGTGTTCCTGTACTCTCAGTTACTCGGGAGGCTAAAGTGGGAGGATTGCTTGAGCCTGTGAGGTGAATGTTGGGATGAGCTGAGATTGTGCCACTGCAGTCCAGCCTGTGCAACAGAGTGAGACCCTGTATCAAAAACAAAACAAAACAAAAAAAGACAAACGAAGAAAAGTGTTAGAGTGACTAGGGATGCTTGTGGGTCAGGGTAAATTTTTCTAAAAAGTAGATATTAAAGGAGAGTCCTGAATGATTGTTACCATAAGCTCCTTTATTTTCTTGTTAATACATGCGAATTCCTGAACCCTTTCCTCAGGATTTATGATTCACAAGTTTGGGTGTGAGTTTCAGGAATTTGCATATAATAAATGTCTCAGTTGACCTTAAGTAATTTTGATGCAAGTAAACTAGTTTTCATACATTGCAGAAAATCATGCTTCATTGTCCAATATTGTAGCCACTAATTACATGTGAGTTTTAAAATTAAAGTTTTTATTAATTATAGCTTAAAATCAAATTTTAATTATATAAATTTATTTTAATTAAATGAAAGTTAAAATTCAGTTTCTTAGCCATACTAGCTGCATTTCAATTGCTCAACCATCATATGTGGCTAGTGGGTACTCTATTAGACAGTACAGATATACAACATGTCCATGATCACAGAAAGTTCTATTATACAGTGCTAGTCTTGTACAATTGTTCTCTGTTTGTTATATTCATTACCTATATAACTGGACTGGAGTCAATAATGTTAAGTAAAGGAAACTAGATATTTGTAATCTAGTCATTCTTTTTAATACTTCCAGTGGGGAAACTCATCATGAGAAGGTTTTCCTCGAGACTTTTCCAGAAAATGTCAGTACATCACACGTAATTGTCATTGACCTGGCAAAACTAAAATAACTTTCTAATTATTGTGTTCAAAACTAACTTCTCATCCATTTTTAACACCCTAACAATAAAAATGAGAAAAACAATATGTGTGATTTATTTTTTCTTAAGTTTTTTTAGTTTCTACCTAAAAGTAATAGGCTATAAAAATTTATTCTAATGAACATTTCTAAACTCAGAGTGCTTAAATCTTAATATTTCTATAACAAAGCAATTTTTATATCTGAGGCTAATAATACTGTGCTAAATACAATCATTGATGAATTTGAACTTTAACAGTCAAATCAAATTAATAAAGTCTAAGGTTAAATGTAGGGTCAGCATGACCCAGATTAAGTATGTTTTCATTTAATCTCCACCAGAATCCAGAATTATGTTCATGTTTAATCTGACCCAATATAGGTGTTTAATACCTATGGAGGACAAGAACACTCAGCAATAAGGATGGTTGACTCATTTCTAGCCCCAACGATAAGGCCATGTAGTGAAGCAAGTAACCATGCATTAATTTACCAGATACTATTTAAAAACACGAAATCAGAAAAATTGGAGAACAAAAGGCAAAATTTTACACAGCTTTGGCAATGTCGAATGGTACTCAAAAGACCCTACTTTATTTTTTATCATTTCATTCTCAACTTTTCATGTGTCTAGAAAAATCAATAATTTTAAAATTGTTTCATTTTAAAACTTTTTCATGCATGCAGGGACTTGACAATTTTAATCAACTTCCCAATTTATGATGTACATAATGTGGTAAAGATAGTGATATGATTATGCAAGAAGATATATATCCAAGCCTCAAACTCATTTATTTAAACTGCTATAATAGCAACTTAACTATTGGAAAACAATAAGTAATTGGCCAGTTTATTACTAGAATAAAATTGGTTAAAAAAAACTAATACGACTATTTAGAGGCAACGTACTTGAGTATAAAATAGCTATTGCATTACATTCTAAATGTCAGTAGAAACGATTATGAGAAAAAAGGCTAACTGCTGGTAAAATTTTATTGTTTAGAATAACTTTTTGTTTCAGCCCCCAAAAAATAGCCTTTTAGATAAATTCTTGTTTAGTTGATTGCTCAGTGGCAAATACATTTTTTTTTATTTTGAAAGGAATTTTTATGTGAGCTGAACCACTTTTAATGTCAACTTTCATCCTCATGTAAATTAGTGTCATGTGCTATAAGCCACAGAAAAGAGGATTTGTAATGAAAATTGTGATACCACTAACACTCTGACAGAAATGGCAAATTTCATTATAATTGAGGTCATGATGTTTTGTTAATCCAAATGTTGAAGTAGATTATGGGACCAAGATGGCAGAGTGGGAGATACCATCTTACATTGTCTCCCAAGAAAACAGCTATAGACAGCTATTCACAAAGCACAATAGCCCAGAGAAAGCTAGAGGGCCCATTAAAAAATTTATAGCAATGCAATGTAGAAAAAAAAGAAAAAAAGCTCAAAGAACATTCACATAGAAAGAATTATTGGTAACATCAACATACCTGAGACCCAGGAGGTGGCTAGGAGCAAAAAAGAAAGGCACAGACAGTCAGCATCAGCCAAGAAGTGGAAACCACTGTAGTCTTCAACAGCATGCTTCGCAAAGGACACTGGCATCTCTTTCTACCTAGGTAACCAAGAGTCACTCCTGGCAGGGAAACCAGGAAAGGGAGATGTAGCTGAGCCCTATGCTTCCAGTAGCTGGATGATGTTCATTTTTTTGGGGAAAGGAGCCACCAGCTCTCCCAATTCTGCACATGTGCAACCACAGAACTGTGGGTACTCCACAAATGCTCACACCCAGCCCCTGGCTCTGTGGCTACACTGGGCTCACTCATGTTGCAGATACCAAAGCCAACACCATACTAAGCTGGTTTGTACTACAGCCCCTAAGCCAAGCCCTTGCTGCATGTACTCATGTTTCAGCTGCCAGTTCAGCCACCATAAAGAGTTAGATCATGCCCTGACTACAGAGCTACTCTAACTTTGCTCATGCCTGTGTTCCCATTCTTAGCTACCTGGTTACTTCACAGATATCCCTACCATACATACTATCACCAACTCAGCATCACGGTTGTCTGTGTCCAGGACACCAAAGTAAATACTGCCCTAATTCCAGAGACATACACCTTCGACATGTGCCCATACTTCAAGCCTCAGCTCCATGGCTACTTCATGGGCATCACTCATCAAACACCAGTGCAACTGCCATTGTAAGCAAGCCAACAAGCCAGATTCAGTGCCAAGAGAGATTCTGACAATCTTAGCAAGTACGGTCATCAAAGATGAACACCCCTCACTGCCATGGCTGAGATTCATAACATCAGCCACTTTGCAATAGTTAGCAACACCAACCTTATTTGACAGTGCTGCACAGAGACTAACAGCAGGCACCTTCACTGATGCCAAAACTACCTCGTCTCACCAAGTAAGTGTTCTTGCTTTCACCCAGAGAAAGACCTTTCCACAGAGAAACTACCTTGTAAAGTGTACAAGAGGTGATTGCTCTACCAAATGTGCAAACACCAACTTAAAGCAATAACAAAAGGAACAATTTTAAAAAAGATATAATAACACCAAACCAACAAAAATCCCACCATATCTGATCCTCCAAAAATGGATATGTACAAACTTACTGACAATAAATTCAAAATAGTTACTTTAAGGAAGCTAGCAAACTTCAAAAAATACAGGGAAATAATTCAGTGAAATAAGGAAAACAATTAATGACCAAAATTAGAAATTAAATAGACTGAAATTAAAAATAAACAAACAATGATAACCAAAAAAAAAAAAAAAAAAAACCAGAATTCTGGTGTTAAAAAATGCAATAAATAAAATAAAAATGCAGTAGAGAGGATCAACAGCAGAATTGATCAAGCAGAAGAAATCTGTGAAATAAAAGACAGATTATTTGAAAATATATAGTTAGGGGAAGAAAAGGGAAAACAATAAAAAGGAATGAGGAAAGCTTATGGGATTTGTAGTAGAGCATCAAAGAGAACATATTCAAGTTATAGGGGTTCAAAGAAGAAAAAAAAAGGTAAAAAGGTGAAAAGCTTATTTAAAGAAATAATAGCAGAAAACTTTACAAATGTGGAGAAAGCTAAAATTATCCAGGTACAGGAAGGTCAGAAGTCTCCAATCAGATTCAATTCAAGTGTGACTACACCAAGACATAGACATAGTATATTTAAATCATCAAAAACCAAGAGAATGTTCAAACTAACAAGGAAAAAGAGACAAATTACATATATAGGATTGCTAATATGCCTGACAGTAAACTTCCCAGCAAACACCTTAGAGACCGGGAGAGAATGGAATGATATATTCAGAGTGTTGATATAAAATAAGAAAAAGTCTTCAAATCAAGAATACTATACTGTACAAAGCTATTCCTTAGAAATGGAGGATATATAAAGATTTCCCTAGAGAAACAACAAATAAGGTATTTATTGCTACCAGACCTGCCTTACAGGAAATGCTAAAGAGAGTTATTCAATTTATAAGAAAAGAATACCAATTAGTAAAACAAAAATATATGAAAGTATAAAACTCACTGGTAAAAGTAAGTATACAAATACAGAATACTCTGATACTGAAATGGTGATGTGTAATTCACTTTATTGTTAGTATGAAGGTTAAAAACAAAGCACTTAAAAGTAATAATAGTTATAATAATTTATTAAGGGACGTACAACATAAAAGTGTATAAATTTTAATATTTAAAACATAAAATGTATGTAGATAGAAGTGTAGTGTAATTTTATTCAATCAAAGTTAAGTTATTACCCACTTAAAATATCTGTTACAACAATAAGATGTTTGAGGTAAGCCTCATTGTAATCACAAAGCAAAAGTCTATAGTAGATACAAAAAGACAAAAAGAAAGAAATTAAAGCGACCCTCTAGATAAAGTTATCTAATCACAAAGAAACAAAATAAGTAAGAAAGAAAGGACAAACAATTTACAAAACAACCAAAAAAATAAATCAACCAAACGGCAACAGTCAATCCTTAAATGTCAATAATTATCTTGAATGTAAATGGGTTAAATCCCATTTACAAGTGTCTTTTCGATACCAATCGAAAGACAGAGCATGACTGAATGGACAAAGAAACAAGACCCACCTACACACTGCCTATAAGATACTCACATTATCTCTAAAGGCACACATAAAGGTATGCAAAATGATAAAATAAAAATATTCAATACAAATGACAGCCAAGAGGAAACAGGGTTAGCTATATTTTTACCTGATACAATAGACTTCAAGACAAAAACCGCATAAAGAGACAAAGAGGATCATTATATAATGATAAAGTGATCAATTCATAAAGAGGATAAAACAATTGTATATATATATCCATACAACATTTGCACATCTAAATATGTAAAGCAAATATAAATAAATCTGAAGGGAGAGTTAGAACACAAGACAATAATCGTATGAGATTTCAATAACTGACATTTAGCAATGGACAGATCACACAGGAAGAAAATCAATAAGGCAACATTGAACTTGAGCTACACTGTAGACCAAATGAACCTAACAAACATGTACAGAATATGCCACCCAACAACAGCAGAATAATATTCTTCTCAAGCACATATGAGACATTCTCCAGAATAGATCACATGCTAGGCCACAAAACAACTCTTTACAAATTTAAGAAGATTGAAGTAATATCAAGTATTTTGATCACAATGATATGAAACTAGATGTCAAAAATGGTAAAAATTTTGAAAAATTCACATATGTCTGCAAATTCAGTGCCATACTCCTTTAAAAAAATGGATCAAGCCAGATGCGGTGGTTCACACCTATAATTCCAGTCCTTTGGGAGGCTGAGGCAGAGGCAGGCAGATCATGAGGCCAGGAGTTCAAAACCAGCCTGACCAACTGGTGAAACCCCGTCTCTATTAAAAATACAGTATTTATCTGGGTGTGGTGGGACTTGCCTGTAATCCTAGATACTCAGGTGGCTGAGCCAGGAGAATTGCTTGAACCCAGGTGGCAGAGGTTGCATGAGCCAAAGTTGTGTTATTGGGCTCCAGCCTGGGTGATAGAGCAAGACTCCATCACAAAAAAAAAAAAAAAAAAAAAAAATCAAAGAAGAAATTTAAAGAAAATTTAAAAAGTCGTCAATATAAGTGAAAATGGGCACACAGCACACTAAAACTTATGGAATCCAGGAAAAGCAATTATTAGAGAAAAGTTTATAAAAATAAACATGTATATCAAAAAAAAGACAGAGCTCAAATAAAAAATTTAACGTTATAACTCAAGGAACTAGAAAAATAGCAAAATAAGTTCAAAGTTAGTAAAGGGAAGGAAATACTAAGTACAGATGAAATAGAAATGTGAAAATGAAATAGAAGTGTTAAAAAGATCAATGAAACAAGAGTTGATTTTTTGAAAAGACTAACAAAATTGACAAGTCTTTAACTAGACTAATGAAGAGAAAAGAAGACTCAAATAAAATCAGAAATGAAAAAGGAGACATTACAATGGACACCTCAGAAACACCTGGGATCATAATAGAAAACTTATCAAGATTAAATAATGAAGGAATAGAAAATCTGTTTAGGCCAACTCTCCTTAACAAGTAAGGAGACTGAATCAGTAATCTAAAACCACTCAACAAAAAACACCTAGAAAATCATGGCTTCACTACTAAATTCTAGCAAGTATTTAAAGAAGAACCGGTACCAATTTTCCTCAAACACTTTCAAAAAGTTAAACAGGAAATATGTACAAATGTATTTTATGAAGCCAGCATTACCCTCATGTCACAGACACAGAAAACACTACAAAAAAAATACAGAAAATTACAAGTCAATATTGCTGATGAACCTAGATAGAAGGATTCTCAACAAAACAGCAAATAAAAAGGGTCATATGCCATGATTAAGTAGGATTTATTTCTCAAAAGCAATGATGGATCAACATATGTATCACTAAATGTTATGCGACTCATTAACAGAATGAGAGGAAATCTGCATGATCATCTCAATAGATGCAGAAAAAGGATTTCACAATATTCAATACTGTTTCATGATAAGAATACTTAACAAACTAAGTATAGAAAGAAGGTAATGCAATATAATAAAAGCCATACATGACTAGCTCACAGTGACATTATATTTAACGGTGAAAAATGCAAAGCTTTTTCTCTAACATCAGTAATAAGGAAAGAATGTTGACTTTCATCACTTCTATTCAACATAGTATGGTACATCCAGCAAAAGAAATTGGGCTAGAGACAAAAATAAAAAGCATCCAAATCAGAAATAAAGAAATAAAACGCTATCTGTTTGAGGATGACATTACCCTATATACAGAAAAAATCTAGACTCTACCAAAAAGCTGTTAGAACTCATAAACCAATACAGTAAAGTTGCAGGAAAAAAAAATAAAAATTCAGCAGCATTTCTATACACTAACATTAAACTATCTGGAAAGAAGTTGAGAAAAAATTCCACTTCCAAAGCCACAAAAAATAGTAAAATATTTAGAAATAAGTTTAACCAAAAAGGTGAAATATCTGCACAGTAAAAATTATGAATCATTGATGAAAGAAATTGAAGAAAATACAAAAAAGTGGGTTCATAAATTGGAAGAATCAATATTGTTGAAAATGTCTATAATATCCCAAACTATCTATAGATTCAATACAATTCCTATCAAGATTCCAATGACATTTTTCACCGCAATGTATAAAACAGGCCTAAAATTCATATGGAACCAAAAAAAATACCCTGAAAGCCAAAGTTGTTTTGAGCAAAATGAAGAAAGGCATTATAGTATTTGATAGAATCGATAGCCCAGAAATACACACAGCTATGGTAAATTGATTTTTGACAAAGACAACAAAAACATAGAATGGAAAAAGGAAAATCTCTTCAATAAATGGTGCTAAGAAAACTGGATATCCAGTGGCAGAATGAAATTAGACCCTTGTATCACACTGTATACAAAACTCAACTCAAAATGGATTAATAACTTTAATGTAACACCTGAAACAATAAAACTCCTAAAAGAAAACACGTGGGCTAAGCTCCACAACATTGGTCTGATCAATGATTTTTTGTATCTGACCCCAAAAGCACAGGCAACAAAAGCCAAGATAAACAGAAAGGGTCACTTCAAACTAAAAATCTTGTGCACAGCAAAGGAAACAACAGAGTTATGAGACAATTTACCAAAAGGGAGAGTGTAATTGCAAACTATACATCTGGTAAGGGATTAATTTCCAAAATATGTGAGGCACTCAAACAACTCAATAGTAAGTAAACAAATAACTCATTTAAAAAATGGGGAAAGGACCTGAACAAACATTTCTCAAAAGAAGATATGCAAATGGCTAATAGGTATATAAAATGGTGCTCAACATCATTATTTACCAGAGGACAAAATCACAATGAGATATCACCTATCACTTATTAGAATGGCTATCATAAAATAAGATAAAGATAACAAGTATTCAGAAGGATGTGAAGAAAAGGGAACCCTTGTATACTGTTGCTGGGAATGTAAATTAGTACAATCACTATGGAAAACGATGTGGAGGTTCCTTTTTTTTTTTTTTTTTTTTTTTTGAGAGGGAGTTTCACTCATGTTACCCAGGCTGGAGTGCAATGGCGCGATCTCAGCTCACCGCAACCTCCGCCTCCTGGGTTCAGGCAATTCTCCTGCCTCAGCCTCCTGAGTAGCTGGGATTAAAGGCACGCACCACCATGCCCAGCTAATGTTTTTGTATTTTTAGTAGAGACGGGGTTTCACCACGTTGACCAGGATGGTCTCGATCTCTTGACATCGTGATCCACCCGCCTCGGCCTCCCAAAGTGCTGGGATTACAGGCTTGAGCCACCACGCATAAGAAGAACAAAACTAACATATGGTCGAGTAAACCCAGTACTGGCTATGTATCCAAAGCAAGTGAAATCAATGTGTTAAAGAGATACCTGTACTCCCATGTTTATTGCAGTATTATTCACAATAGTTCACTTAAGTATCCATTAATAGATGTGTGAATAAAGAAATTGTGATATATATATACACACGTACACACAGTGGAACACTATTCAGCCCTAAAATACAAGGAAATCCTGTCACTTACAATAACATGGATGAACTAGAGAACATTATGTTAAGTGAAATCAGCCAGGCACAGAAAGACAAATACTGAATGAAATCACTTACATGTAGAGTATTTAAAAAGTCAGACTCATACAAACAGAGAGTTATATGATGGTTAGCAGAGGCCAGAGGGGAGAGATTGAGGAGATGTTAGTCAAAGGACACAAAGTTTCACTTAGAAGCAATAAGTCTGAGACATCTACTGTACCTCATGGTGACTACAGTTAACAGTAGTATACCAGATATTTGAAAATGGCTAAGAAAGTAGATTTTATGTGTTTCCATTACAAAAGAAAAAGATAAGTATGTGAGGTAATGCATGTTACATTTTTCACAGAAATATAAAAAGCAATTTATGAAACCAGTGAAACCTCCTGAACTTAGCCATTTCACAATGTATAGATATATCAAAGCATCCTGTTATACAAAGAAATATATAATGTATACTTTTCAATCAAAATAAATTTAAAATATAATTTTCCAATGAGCAGGCAGCATTAAATGAACTGGATATAATCAAAGCCAACAGTGAAAATATCTGTTCCATGAAATTTTCTCAATAATAATAATTTAATTACATCACTTAATGATCTCCTATATTGTCCAAACATATAGTTTAAAATCTGGTATATTTTATTTCAAAGTTTACTCTGATGGTACATATAGTTAAGTTATGTCTTCCTACTAAAACTAACATATTCCCTTAAGAACGAATCTTGGGAGGTTACTCTTAGCAGTGATGGCAGAGATGGCAGAGGTGAAAAGTCAGCATTGCCTATATAAAAACTGCCAGGGAAGGAGTGGAGATCTAGCTGCTGTATGGTGTGAACATGCTGAGGTCCAGGTTTCTGTTTTGTCCAGGCTTCTCATTGATCTGAGATATAGTCACAATTCTTACAATAATTGTATGTCCTGTTTAGTTATCGAGATCTGGTTTCTATTATTGGCACCAAAAAAAAAAAAATGCTGCCTGCAGATACTATGACAGAGAAAAATTCAATCTTTCCCATTGTCAACCATTTAACACTGTGATTTAGGAGATAAATACAGAACAATTGTTCTAAAAGTTTGGGCCATGAACAGTTTAAATGATTATATGTTCATTTTACTTAGTATAGTTCATTTACTTAGTTCTTGAATTCAACATTCATAAAACATCCCAAGGAAATAAGAAAATATGTTCTAATCTGAAAATATTTTTCATACTCTACCATTTTTCAGGAAAATATTCTCAATTGTTTAATAAAATATCACATTATTTAAGAGTTACTAAATAGGAAGTTACAATTATTCTGTGTTTTCTCAGTCAAGACATAGAAAAGCTAAGGTCACTTGGAAGTCTAATATACTAATTAATCCTTTCAAAGAACGTCAGTCTCAAAAATGGAGAAAACATTTTCAAAGAACTTTTAAAAATTTTTTGACATGTAAATAGTCATTATGAGGCTATTTTCAACCTAAAACTTCTAAAAATTTATGAAACCAATGGAAACCTTCTGAGTAAACATAGAAAAAAGCATTTCTGAAATTTAGCATGGA